AGCTTATAAAGCTTATAAAATAATCAATCTTAGAGCGTACATATTACATGCACTAATTATGTTCCATTCAACCATTTCTGTACAGGGTACCAAGGTTCTTGCTCTCGCAAATAGTGGTGACATTGAACAAATTGATAAGATACTCGCCCTCAAAAACACGTACTACATAAGCAATGCTGCTGCCATGCCTAACCAAGTATAGTGGTGATCCCCCATCCGCAAACTATAATTACATTTAGATGTTGAGTAAAAAGATTTGGATTGAGGCAGCCCCAAAATCAGAACAAATTCGGGCAACAAATGAGACAGACACTATCCTCACACAATTCTTTGACTTCTATGACTTATGCGGTTCTAAAACCCCAATCAGTATGTGAATAATATTAGTCTTCATTAACATAATATGGAAAATCACAATGATGTGACATCTAAACTTTTTATTATGTTTGCTACATTTAGATTTCATGGCCATTGTGATTCAGAGAATGCCGAGAGAGTATGTCTCTGTTCTTGGACATGCAAAAACCGGACATGATTTCATGCTTGTGAATGAAGAGTAAGTATGACATAGTTATTCTAATTACTTAACATTGTGTACATCTAACATTTTTACTTTCATCTTAAAAAGAATGAAACCATTTGTGTTGACTCTTTGGGAAGATTTCGCAATGAATCAAGGCTGGGATATAACATCCCTTTTAGAGAGTGGGCGACACCCAATAATTTTGGGTAAAAGGGTGACCGTTACTCCCTTCAATGGTAATGTTTATTTATCCAAAAGGTCAAGAAACAGTAGAAAAATTATTTTTTAGTAGATGAGTTCCACCACGTTAAAATTTAAACACAACACACTAACAAAAAATATTACTGTACATATATACTTGGCTGGAGAGTCAATTTCACAATATTCACCTTGGTAAGAAATTTTCCTATTTATTAACCTCTTTCATGTCCTATTTGGTGACAGGGCTCATGCCGAGTCTTGTTTGTTGGCTGGAGCTTGGCGGTGCTTTCAACAAAATGGAAATTTCAACGCCTCCACCGATCAACAAAATGGAAATTTCACCATGTACCGGTATTGGTTTTCCTCTTTTTGTCGGATAACTCCCAAAAA